ACCCAAACCATTCTATGATTCTATGATGTCTTCTCCCTGCATAAATGAAGCACAGGTCTCTACTATTCCTGTAAAGCCTGACCTTAGTTCCAGGCATCATGGAGTTCTACCTTTTAGCAGTTCTTTTAAATTAACATAGGTTTCAGTTTTGCTTAGTTCTAAGGTTACATTAATTTAACTTAATAAATCTAAGACAAATTTGGGAAGATTTTAGATAAAACAAATATGAAGTGAAATCACAGTTTAAAATCGAATAGGAAGCCCCTAGACTTCCTTACCAATAATTTCAAGATTTATGTTCACCACTTGAGTGAAGTTTTCAGAACTCAAAACCACTTTTACCTTCAGAGGGTAAAGGTTATCGCTTATTTATTTTAAGACATCTGCCTTACTGCTTGCCCAGTCTGACAATTTATTCTCTCTATATGGGGTTACTGATGTTCACATCAAATGTTATGCAGGACCAGAGTTATAACTACACATTAGTAGTCACTCCAAAGACTTAACCAGAAATTCTAAAACAACAAATGCCACAATGACACAGATGAGAGATTCAATAAGAAGATACTTCACTCAAACTGCCAGCCAGCCCTCAGTAGGCTGAAGAATAGACCTGTTAAAAACAATACTCTCCACTGCAGCACCACTACTGACAGTGATCATTATCAATACAAGACTGCGATACAGAACTCCAGAAACCACAGAGTCTCCAGTTTTGGCCTGTGGCTTACCTAACACATCTAAGCACGAGGTCAAGTGACCTTCAAACTCCTAAGAAAAGGCTCCTAAGAAGAAGAAAACAGCATAGAGCTGCTCCTTTGCCCTCAGGCGTTCTTCAACAACACAAGAAGTGGGCTTGAGTATATTGTGACAACATGTGATACAGAAACTATTTTCTCTCTGCAGAGAAGCTAGTTTTCTCTGTTTAGTGACACCAACTCACTTCAGGTGACCAGCATCCCAGATGCCTTTATATGTACCCTGTTCACAAAATCCTTGGGTTTTCAGAACTCATGGCAAGCCACGTTTTCCTGTAGTGCCTGGCAGGCTCCCTGAGCAAGCACTCCAAATGTTAGGTTGCATCTCATCTGTTGATTTCTTTTGTCAGGAACATGACAGACACAATCCCAGCAAGTTAAGACAAGGAACTAGCTAGAGCCTACCAAGGTCAGGATCCCTGTCTGGGCAGAGTCCCCCCAGCTGCAGGAAGAAGAAAGACTAACAACCACATTGGTGATACACCATTTTTCATACACTTCTTCCCTCTAGGGTATCTATAACAATACCTGCCTTGTTTTCTGTTGCCAAACTTGGCTGGCTAACATATTTGGTCTCACAGGTGTTTTGGTCTCTCCAGTCACAAGCAACCATAAGCCATTAAGAAGTTCTCATGCTGCCAAAGAAACCTGCACTCTAGACAAAAGTATATAAGCATAATTAAAGCTGTAACCTGATGTAAATTTTAGGCCACCACTAGAGGTGATCCTTCTGAACTAATACATACTTAATGTGCTAGAGCAAAAAGGTATATAGCAAATTATTTAGTGTTCCAAAAAATATCAAAAGGCTCCCTACGTACCAATGTGTTCCCTCCTATCAAATGTAGTTATAATGATGTCTGTGGGATAATTCCAACACTGCACTCTGTATTGAAGTACCACAGAAGAAATTCTGTTTCTGGAACAAAAGCTTAACAGAAGGCCATGTAAGTTTTAAAAATGCAAAAGGGGCTATTTAGCAGTGCTCTAAAAAAGAACACACATTCACTGTGCCTCACTCTTCAAAACCGTTCTTCTCTGAGAGTCACAAGTCAAACCAGCATCTCCCACCAAACTTCCAGATTAGAATGAAGAAATCTTACTATGATGGGCAGGAAATTAATACGTACGTCCAAAATATTTTATTGAAAATAAGAATCAATAGTTCGATGTAATTCCATATTTCATAAAGAAAATTCAGGTATGATGATTTGGGCAGCTGTTGCTTATTGTAAAACCACTTCATTATTGGGAACTCTTTCCTGCGACTGCAGGAGGCTGCAATATCCACTATCACTGCAGAGCCTGTTTACCCTGTGTCTCATTTTTTGTTACAATATTGAACCAAAACCCACAGCAGGAGATAGGAATTATTATGATTGGCGCAGAACTAACAGTGACATATCATTAAGTTTTGATGACTGTCTCAAGGGGAAGTAGCTTTCAAGTCTGAACTTGGGGGACAGGCAGGGGACTAAGCAACAGATCATGGGGAGGAACTTCGATCATGTGTCAGGTTAATCAAAGGGTTGCCTGATACTTTTATAAAGTCTCTCTAGGCATCCTGGAGACAAAGGTGGAAGAGACCAGGGGAGGTGCTCTAAAAGCAGACAGTATTATCAATTGCAAGGCAGTTCATACATAGTAAATGGAAACTGGCTTTGCAAGAGATGAGAAATAAGCTATGATCTGGAGCAAAAGGAGGGTACCAAATTGCCCACAGTGCACAGATTTTGACACCAAGTACATTCAGGAAGAAATGGCAGGAAAATGTGTGGTCATTAACACTTGGTTTATATTGCTTTCTTAGAAGAGTCAAAAGGAAGACTGACTGCTTCTTAAAGGCATCACAAGGACTCAAGACTCCAGTCTGTGCAAAATTTCTATTCATTTTCCAAAATCAGCAACACAAATCTCCTCTGACAACAAAACCATCAGACACTACAAAAACAGGCAGATACATTTTCCCCTCCCTGGCAGTCATTAGCTTCAGGATTTGGTAATAGAGCAATGAAATCCCAGTGGAATTTCATCCTGCAGGAGCCAGCAGGAAACTCTGTGTACTTTTGAGCAGATAAACAATGGCCAGCCAGAAATGGAGATTTGCATTCATCAGGAAAACAAAGTCTCATGGAGTGTTGTTTCTCCATGCTTCCGTCTGTCTACAGTCTGCTTCATTCTTCCTTTCTGCCTTGCATGCGGCACCAGCTTCTACAACCGTCTGTGTCAACACAGCCAATGTAGATACTACTGTGTGAACTGCCAACTGCCCCAATGCCTGCAAAACCTATTTGAAATCAGTCTGCAACAGCGTTTTCTTTCCACTATCCCCACTGTTGGTACGCAAGACATGGTATTTGCTGAGGATAGTGCTTTGGTTTACTTTAAAATAGGTATCACCACGTAAGTACAGCAGCATTTAATTACTAGGTGTAGTTTCTATGCCTTGGTTTTGAAAGTACAATCACAAAAAGATGCATAAAATTGTCCCATTATCAGAGCAGCACCTCAGAAAGACAGAAATTCATCTGCTGAAGATGTATGCTGTGGCACTACTTCAGAAAACGAGTCTGCCTAATGAGATTGAAACCCAACTACATGCAGAGGATATTTACTAAGTTTACTTGCCTGTCAGGAGCAGTAAGAAAGAATTAAGGTTTATCAGGAGATAAAAATGGATGCTTGTGCAGTCCTGACAGATAATGCTACTACAGAAAATCCCATTAATGCAGGTGAAAATAAAAGCTGATCTTTCTTACTAGCTCTGAAATTCTTTTCATTTAAAAAATAAAGCAACCACCTTTCATTTCCAGACATTTAGTTTCTTTATCTGGACTACAAATTACATTTCAAACGTATCTTAAGTTCAGAAGAAATTGCAGCAAAGGACAGCAAGCCAAATTATGGACATTAATACTCTACAGAGCACTAACATTCTTCTAGTGTAATTTTTTGCTAAGTTCTACTAAAATTTAAATTGTATTATAGTTCTTGACTAGACACACTAATTCTACATTCAATAAATGTAAAGAACATAGACTTTCTGATATTTCGAAAGTTCACAGTACATTTTGCTGGGATAAAGCTCCAGGCCAAAACTTGCTGTCCCTCATATTGAGGCTATGCTCATTACAAGATGTTTCACTCTTTTGAAGGTAACAGCTAAATAAAAAAATATTTTAAATGGAACAAAAAACGCAGGCTAACTTTCAAAGCAGGTTGAGCTGGTTAATTCACTTGACATCTAACACCTGCAGAGGAATGGTGTAAAACAACACTTCCAAAAATGCTAAGTCAGACATCGCATTCTGGAAACATCTTGCTTCCAGTTCTCTGGCTTTGCCAGGCCAGGAGAGGCAGTACAGTTTTGACGAGGGGGCTGAAGGACTGAAGCCCTGTCTGAGAACAAAAGTCCATTTTTGCTGAGGAGAAAAGTACATTTCCTGAGAAGCAGAAAGCAGAGAAAGGATCTGGGTGTTCCAACCGAAGTGCCCAACAGTGATTCAGGCCACACTCCAGCTGGGAATTCAGCTCCAGATGGCCCAGGAAATGCCATAACTATCATCTATGTAAACTGTACCTTTGGATGTCATGAAGGACGGAACAAATGCACAATTAGTCATGATGAAGATCAAAATTACATAGCCCAGTAGAACTGAAGGCTTTAACGCTTTCAGATACCACAAGAAAGGATAAGTGATGTGCCAAAGGTCACAGCAGTACAGCAGAGAAAAACTCACTTCCAAGTCCTACTTCACACTGACTTGGTCTCACATGCTAACACTGACAGTATACAAAATGCAAAATGCAGCACAGTGATTTGTTGCCTTTTACAAACAGTCCTTTACAAAGCTAGAACAAACCCTCTTTCCAATCTATCAATTCCATTACCTTCCTTAATCATAATAAAAAAAAAAAAAAAAAGAAACTAATTCAAATTCAGCATGACAAGACTACACCTGCACAAAAACAGGTACATTAATTAAATTTTGACTGTCAGCTGAAAATTTCCAACACCCTGCTCTCTGGATAAAATGGCTGAAAGAAAGAAAACTCAACACAATGATACAACAATAAGCATGTGAGTGTGCAGGGCAAAGGGCAGAGAGAGGCAGGAGTATTAATATGCTATCAAAGAAAAGGTGTAGCTTATACACTTTTATGTTTCTACTCACTGTATTAGGTACGTATGGCAATCCATAAAGTTTCTCCTGTGTTTCCTTTAAAATTTCTGTGGTTGACTTTTTTAGAGGATGTTTCCCATGGTAGATTTGGTCCAAGGCAGCATAAAATACCTGAAGAGATAAAAATACATGTTTGCCTTTGGCACATGGCATTGGCAATTGACAACCAAAAAAGACAAATACAAAAGAACGGGATAGAGAGAACAGAGAAAGGGAAGAGTCTAAATAATATTTAGTGTAATTCATAAGGAGAGAAACAGGTTTTTGGAGTACACCAACCACCATTATCATGACCTATCATAAACCCGTGTTTAGGTCACTCAGAACATTGGCAGTACTAAATCTGCATTTTTAAATAAAATTAAGACCTGTCCCTAAATCTGTCCAGCAATTCCCTTTTCAAAACTATTTTTGAATTAACTATTAAATAGGTTTATTAAAAAGACTTAAAAGTTATTTGAGTGGACACAGAAAAATAATTTATTCCAAGACACGTGCATGCAGACATGAGAACACATCATATCTGCAGGGGCAAGTTACTGCCCAGGCGGTGAACATAAGAAGCTACACACAGAGCTGCTGATGCTCCTAGAGTACTCAAACAGTGCAGTACTAAGGTAGATGCTTGCTTTATTTTAGCTCTCATAATTAGAACAATAAATTGCTGCAATGTAAACTCAGCTATCACAATCCATCAGGACAGTACCTTGCCAGAGGTTCATAAGCAATTTCTGTGCAGAAGCGTATGTACTATGGCAGAACACATGCAGGACTAAATTACTGATGTGTTTGTGAAAATTGATCATTATTTTCAAGTAAAACTGAGGGTTAGAAGAAGAGGGGTGAAGAAGCCATGACTTGTAAGAGCTATTCCTGATTTCCCTGCTTGCTTCCTATATGGCTAATAAGGAGAAAAGAGATCAGCAAGACCTAAACTTGCACAATCAGCCATTAATGACACTGCAAGTTTTGTGATCCAGATAGCAACAAGAGATGCAAGACCTTAACATTGCCCATCTACAAATGCAGCAAGTATCTGTTCAAAAGGTAACTCCATGAAGACACTGCACCAAATAGCAATGAATAAAAATAAATTAAAAATAAAGTATTTTTTAAACCCAATCTTTTCAGGAGTATTTTTAATTTTCCCTAATTATACTGATAATATGAAAAACTAAAAATCTAAAGAAAAACCTATAGGATGTTGTAAAAACAACAATATTTTTTACTTAGATCTTAGAAGAGAAAAAGGCTTTGCAAGGCCTTTATACTTTTCACCCTCAGATCTGGTGTCTAGATTCCCAGTTCATTTTTTAACAAAGCTTAATGAAAGCTACAGCATTTATAGTAGGAAGAGTGACTGAGAATATGACCAACAGTAAGTTTCGTGAACAGATCTGAAAATTACCTGATGTCACAGTAATAAAATAAATTAAAAAAAAAAAAAAAAATCACTTTCTCTTGTACCCTAGGCCTTTTTGACTCTGCAGGAGTCATTTCACACTGACTTCCCTCCTCTCCTCCTCTCCAAAAAACCCAAACCAAACATGGATGGGGCTTTGAGTAGTCCCTGCCTGTGGCAGGGGGTTGGAACTAGATGATCTTAAGGTCCCTTTCAACCCAAACCATTCTATGATTCTATGATCTGACAACAGACTTAAGCATCTTGCTTCAGCCCAGCCTCGATTCTTCTTTCCTATCTGCCAGCTTTGTTAGGACCTGTTTGCAGTTACTCTTCAGAGCTCCTCACAAGATGGAACAAACTGCAATGCAGAGGACCTTCATTAAAGTAAAATTTGGAGTCAAGTAGTTTGTGGTCTGGGAGCTGGAGCAAAATCTTAACTCAGAGCTGGGCAGAGGGGAAACATCAGCTGAAGGCCAATGAAATGGACTGCCTAAAGAACACCACAGTGACAGGGAAATGAGCTCTGAAGCCAGCTACAGTCCTTCCCCTGATCCTGGCACATGTAAAGTGTGGGAAGAAAGCTATGAGCCAGGCCACCTGGACAGAAACTAGGATGAACTTCATAAGCCTTCCCATCTACAAAGCACAGTTCTGTGTATTTACACAGGTCTTTGAAATGGCAAAGAGAGACACATCCCAAGACCACAGGATTTTAGGTAACACTTCTAGGAAGCATGCTAACACTTAATATTAAGCAAGTAGCTAGATGATGTTTCCAATTTCAGTAAAACACATTTCCCAAAACATAAAAAGGCCATCAAAAAGTTATCTATATCCATACTATCTATTTTGCACTGACATTGGTATTAGTTTCACTTGATTCCAGTTCTTTCTAGCTCATTGTCTGCTTAATAGTATTAATATGTAAACAGTTGTGTGTTTTCCAGGTAGGTCAGAAAGTACTGCCTGAAAGACTCTGGGATTCAATCTGAGTGGCAGAAGCCTTATGGAAGATGCATGGGTTCTCCTATCTTTCCTCTGGAGTAACTGATTACATGAGCTGGAAGAAAATGCAGAGGTATGACAGTTATAATAGGTATTGTAGAGGTATTATAGAAAAAACAGCATGATTTCTTATTTGCACATGCCAATAGATTTATTTTCTGAACAGACCATGGAGGAACCTTTAGGTATTTTCCCCATTGCTGGAAAATTTGTAAGCATTTTTCTTTCTTCTAAAGGTCAAATATGGTTTACATGGTATTTAGCTGTCAAGATAGACTAAACCATTTGCAAAGTCTCAAGGAAAAGTATTTGCATCACTGTTCACAGTATTTTCAGGTATATACATTAGAAGCACATATATACTTCAGCATCTGCAGATGGAAATACATGCTTTTCTTCAATGAATTATTACACTTTTAAATCTGCATGAATAACAGTGCACACACTGTTACAAAGGAATGTATGAACTTTGTATTTGCCATGCAGTCAACTTCTCTGGGACATTTTTTCTGAACTAATAAACAGAATGGCTCTACCAGGCTGTGTCTCTGAAATTAATGCATACTTCCACAAGTATTACATCTGGACTCTCCAAAAACATGGTGCTGAAAGTAGGAAATCAGTAACATTTTTCAGTGCAGCACCGTGGTTGTTTGGCACAGCTTGAGACTGGTTTGACATTAGTTACACAAGAATAATTTGAGGGCGAGCAGGCTGCTTAATCTGTGCATCACTGCCAGCATCAGTCAATCATTACGTGCCCACAGGAATCTGAGCCCACGAGAAGTGGGTGTTCTCTCCCTGGCTCTAAAGCTACGAGGTCTGGAGTCCCTCTGGGTCAGACCCTACAGAGAGCAGCTGAAGGCCAACAGCGGCAGGAGGATTGCAAAACCCACCCCATGGGACTGATGGAATGACCCCTCCTTGACTGACTTACACATCGTCTTCCCCACCACAGGACAGGGAGGCCATGTCACTTCTTAATATATCTGTTACTTAAAAGTGTTCTTGGTATCGAAGCCCATTTAGTCCCCACATGGAAAATCTGGTCTCAAACCTTGACAAGATTATAGTAAATACATATTAAAAGTTGAAAGGAAATCAGAGTTAGACCTATATATAGCTGTTATGGACACACCAGAAAAGAATGGGTGCAGGTGAAAGCACTTGATCATCATTTCGATGGTTACTAGTCTGTACATTGCCAAATTATTCTGTGTTGGTGGACTTCACGAATAGAGGTCCACCACTAAGAATTCCCAGTATAAATTTTATTTTAATCCTGAATTGTTTCATTTGTTTTGGTTTGTTTTTTTTTCCCCAAGAAAAAACCCAACTTGTACATGAATTAATTCTACTTTTGCCCAAGTTCTTTCTGGATTCTTAGCTATCTCTATATGAGAACCTTTCAGAGCCAGGGGTATGCATTTCAAAATCAGACCTGCAGAGAGAATGCAATTACTTTCATATCACAGTATAGCCAAGGGTGGTACCCCCTGTGTTCACACCTGTAGAGCCAACACTGGCCACTGACAGCCAGCACTGCACTGAAAGCATAACTCAAAGATCTGTGAAGTTTAACCAATGAAAAAAAACAAAAGTATGCACTGAAAACAGCACTAAGTCTGGTTTTAATTAGTGTAACTGACACATAAACATTTACAGGTCCACACACCAGTATTCTGATTAGTTTTTAAACACTATAAATAACTGCACAGAGTAAACTGCAAATATTTAACTAAGTTTTGCTTTTAAATCAACTCCAGTTAACCAGCATAACTCATGTTTGCAGACAGGGTTGCAATCATTTGGGCACTTTTCAAAGTGAAGAATTACAGAGATCTGATCTTTAAACTTGTTTCTTTACACATCTCAGAAATAATAACTACCCTTTATTAAGGGACTAGCAGAGTTACCTCACCTAAACACTAAGCCAACTGTAAAAAGAAAAATTACATGCTTCTGGCTTAAGGCAAAGAACAAAACAAAGAAGAAACCCAACTCACAGAAATCACACAGCAGAAGCTTTTAGCATACTAAAAGCAGTCAAACTCTCACTCTAAAAAAAAACAACTTGGCTGGATGCTAACACTACTGTTAACAACTGAGAACTGCTTTGAAGGACTGAAAAAAACCTAAATACCCATTTTAGACAGAGCTCTAATTTCCTTTACTTCCTTTGAAGAAAAATAACAGATAGTTTGTTTAAGGGAGCTCCAATCACATTTTCATAAACAAGCTGGTTTGATTTTTTCATTCTGGTTAGAGAGTTTATTTCCTGGATTTTGATGACACTAAAGTGGCCTGTATCTGTCAGTCCTGCTACATTTCAATGACCCAAAGGTACACAATACTTCCTCTGCAGCAAGTGCTCCTTAAATGATTTCATTAATTTAAGAACTCAATCTTAAGACACATTTGGGAATTCTGATAACACATTAATTTTCAAAAGCTGTGGGTTTAATGATATTTTCCTACAGATTTAGACATTTAGCTTTAAGCAGGCAGCACAGAATACATTCACAAAACCAAATATGGAAATTAATACCAACATGATTTAATTTTCACTAATTTGCATATAGTTAATAAAGTATATCTAATAAAATAAAAAATTTATAAAACTATAAGAATTAAAATATGTTCTGTAAGTTCTAAATAAAGAGTAGAGACTAGAATGCAAAGAACATACCTGGAGTTGCATATCAGCTGCAGCACACACCTTTTTGGACTCACATAGTCTTGACACCATGTTTTTTGGTAGTGGCTTTTTTTTATAAAAAAACAAAAATAATTTAAAATATTAT